TTCATTTCTTGCGACTGGTGATCTTATATCCTTTATCAATTTATTCATTTAATGTAATATAGATAGAAATACTGATTGAACAATTATTGGTCAAGCAATTGGGTAGTGGTATTTGTTTAGGTAATAATGCATACTTAAATTTATGACGAAATTGAGAACCGTGATTTACTGAATCACTCTGTTTCAGTCCCGGCTGGGTGATAGCGCGTCTACAAACTAACCTAAACAGTTATGATTCGTTCCAAACTGCTTTAGCTTGGAAGCTACAGCTATTATAGAAGTATGTACACTAATTTTTAAAGATTAGTACTATTATCACTGGGTAGTAAACAGCTGACAAGAAACCTGTAGTGTTTATATGGACTAATAATTATCTTCTATCTGACGACCACCTGATTTTGAATTCTAAATACAACACGTTCGTTTGTGTTCACATAGTTCTGTTTGGCTTGGATTGAACTATTTCGGATATTCCTAGTTCGTAATAACTTCACATAAGCTTTGCGATGGAGTTTGTGATTGAATGGTTGGACACGCATTAAGATTTTGATGCTTTTGAGGATTTATAGGAAGGTTCAAAATCTGGATTATAACCAAGGTAAGTGTCGAGGATGTTAATATTGTGGTCCATTTTTTTACATTCATTGGTAAAAAAGCCTTCATCTTATTAAAAACCTTGACACTTTCAGAAAAGCCTATTTCACTTCCTTATGCAAGTCTCGAGGAACTACTACTAGACCATGTAATATGTACAAATTTCGAATTCCGTGATGGAGTAAAATTTCGTAAAATGATCCTTCAGTACAACGAAAATCCTTTTACAATACTACGTCATCCCAATTCAATGTGTGCTCAAGATTATACAGGTAATTCATTGAGGAGTTGCGAAGCGGATCACAAAGATGAGCATAAGTTCATTAAATGTTTTTTCCTGTGACAAATTTTACTCATGTAATCCGTATGTATTTCTCAACTTTTTGCATTGAATATGGTGAAATTGGACACATTCAGGCAGTTTAAAATACTACTGTTGATTTAGCTGCTAGTAATGCTTGTTACAGGAGAAGTGTTGACATTTAATTGATTAAAAGCTGTTATATTGATCATTGCTAATTTCATCGTGCTTTTGTTTTGTAATTGTTATAATTATCATTAGAACGATGTCTGGGTCCATTTTTTTGTAATTTTCGAATGAACTTTGGTGCCTGAATTGGAGTTTGATTCTATTGTTATTTTGGGTACGTAAGTTACAAGGAGATTGACACACTACACTTGTATAACAGAAGTGAGCAAGTATTTGAAACTAACAGTGCTAAACTCTGCGATCATACATTTTTTTACCAGTAAACGTTGTTCTCATGATCCATGTATTTCTAATGAAGTTCTTTACAAACATGTGAAGAATATATCGAGTGCACCAAATCCTAATCAGAACTGTGATACTCTATCACCAGATGTGGTTCGTCCTAACGACTCATTTATTTCTCGTGGAATCTTAATTAAATGTGAGGAACAAGTTCTAAATGAGTTAAAACCTGATTACAACCCTTATGGTGTCTCATCAGATGTTATTTGTCCTCACAATTGGTTTATCCCTAGTGATATAACTAACGAATGTGACAAATATGTTCCGAATGAGTCGTATTCTAGTTACATTTCCAATGTTATTGTATCAGATGTTGAACATTCTCAAAACCAATGTGTGTTGAGTAGACTCCCTAGTCAGTGGTATGATGAATCAGAGGGAACAGTAAGTTTTTTCGAAGCAGCCAGAGAAACAATTTGTCCAGATGTGAAGTTTGTATAGGCAGGAAATTCAAATGGAATCCAATATTATTCTAATGTGAATAAGGCAAATATATAATTTCCATTTGATTGTTTTGCAGGTGAACCAAGCCTAGATGAATCACATACGTTAATTGCACATATCAATACATATTCATCTAATAACTGGAACAGTGGTCTTGTGTAATCTAACGTGAAAGCGAAAGGAATGTGCATCATATTTTTTATGTAAGTCAAAGTCCCATGATGAAATTCCTCAAACTACATGTTATTATCTCCGGATACCCACATAACATAAAAATCAAGGTGTGAGATATGAGAAGATAACACCAGCTAGTAACGTCAGATTGGTCTCGACATCGGGACATAAGTACCCTACATTATTTCGCAGGGGAGGTTAGTGTTGGAAAGTCAATAGTTCAAATTTAAGATATCAGTGATTTCAGTACACAACTGAAGTGTTGATCATATACACTGGTGAGTCCATTCCCATTTCGGTTGTTAATTTTAATACTAATGAGTATACTCTAAATCATACAGAGTCTGTATCCAATACACAGTCGGATAGATACATGATGGACCTAAGGAGAAGAGGTACAGCTGATGCAGAAGTTTGGATCCTCATATAAGCTGTGGCTGATGTGGTGTTTGCATGAACCGATGATTTCCTAGTACTTGATGACTACCTGATTTTGAATTCTAAATACAATATGTTTCTTTGTGCTCACCTAGTTCTGTTTAATTTCAATTGCACTGTTTCAGGGAATTCTAGTTAAGTATAATAACCCAAATACTTCTAATCATCACAAAACCGCAAAATAGGAGGTGTAACACTGGTAGTGAGGTGTACCAATAACAATGACACTTGAGCGGTCCTATACAGAGGAATCAATGCTTTACTTGCTCTCAAAACTTTACCAAACGACTTAGATACATTGTACTTGGTGACCTTTTACATCAAAGTTGTAATGAGAATCTTGAAGGATGTAAAGGACAGTTGACGAAAGATGTGAAAATGAAGTATTCAATGTATGGATTTCATATTTTAGGAAGACATTCTGTAATTTTGTATTTAACAATTTACTGTTTCTTCCCGTCAAGTCTACAGCCACTTCACCTCTGCTCCAGTGCAGCCTGGATACCATTGTCAAGGTTTAGTATCAAAGTCTCTCTCATCGCAATATTGGGCTGAGGGTGATGAGATCGTAGGTAACCGTCGAACCTTGTCTCAAGAACAGAACGGTTGCCCACTAGTTGGGGAATGAGACAACTTATGCTCAGAACGTCATTAAAACATAACGAGGATTCGATGTGTTGAAAGCTTTATATTTCAGCAACATCGAATTTGTAACAGTTGTTAATTGGCCGGGTTCATAATTACACAAGTATAACCAAACGACTGGCTTCTGCAGACAATAGGTTAAAAACGATTAAATAGTCAACAGAGCTCATACTCCGCATTGTGTAGCTTTAACACCTTTTACTAACGGTTATGAACGTTTAGGCGTCAATCCAGAGGAAATTCAGTGAGCCCATTTAGAGACTAATCGTCAATACGGCATTCCTTATGGTATTATTGCTAACACGCTTCCACGTAATTATAGTTGGGCAAGAATACAAATCTGCGAACACAGAATTTTGCGTCACTGAAGATAGACCTTAGTTGTTGTTATATTGCTCAGTTGTCGAATGCAGGTTCATTAGTCATTAGTTGACATGGGATTAAGACCAATGTGCACGATTAGACCTAGAGAATCCACCCACCATCGGCCAAACAGAACTGTAGTGTGCTTTTAAATGGTTTGTCTTAGGGTATGAAAAATTTTCAAATTTTTACAGATCGAATATCAAAGAGTCAACTCAATGCTCGCTTCTAATGAATTATTCGTTTCCCAAAAGTTTATATCGTTCGGCCCTGACCTTAAAAGAAAGAACGTCCCTATAACTTTACAACTTTCGGTACTGTAGCGGCAAACAAATTTCCAAAATAAGTTGTCATTTAAGTCTTCGACACTTGATACTGACCTCAGTGGTTTTAATGGACACATCTAGCTGGAGGCACCGGGTCACGCATCCCCACCAGATTACAAGTGGCTACTTATTCCCACTCACCTCATTCAGCCGTTAGCCAGTTTAGATTAAACGCTTCCCGATATATCGATAACCTTTCAAATAAGTCTTCAAACCTCTTGACTTCAGACTTTTGATTTGACTTGGTTGGCATACTCCGAACACAAAGGTTTTACTTGTAAAGGCGGTTTCCAACTACTGAGGATGCCAGAGGTATTGTAGCTTGACAACACTTTACCAGCAGTACCTATAATTAAATCGTACCCACCCAGTAAAATCAAAAGTCAGGAGCGAGGAGGTTGAAAGATATATTTGATAGATTATCAATATATCGAGGAGTGACTGATCTAAACCGGCTAGTGATCGGATGAGAAGTTGAGCATGGCGTTCCTACTTGTGATCTGGTGCGGATACATGACCGTGCACCTTCAGCTAAGAGAACCTATTAAAACTAACATGTTCAGCATCTAATGTCAAACACATAAGGAGCTATTGATTTGGGGGATTTATTACCGCTACACTCCGAATACTTGTGGCATCTTTGGTACCATCTGAAAAGCTGGAAGTTATTCATCTTTCCTTACTAATAGTGGTGAAGAACAAAAACCATCAATGTTTATAAAACAGGAATAAAGTTTTTAAATACACCACAATAATTTAAAAACCTAGTGAAAAGTAGACACAAATGCCTAAAAAGCACTTCCTTGAAATTTCCACCCAAAGTTTTCGATTGGTCACCGAATGTTCGCAGCCCGGATGGATACAGCTTAAAACTTCTTTGACCTTAAGAGCATTATCATTGAAAATCTAAAGTTATTTGTGGAATAACATTACTCACGCAAGGTTTTGACCATTTGCATAACCTCAAGTCGGATCTCAGTTAGACTAACTTTAATTATATACCCAAAGGATTTCACTTCACTTGAATAACTTCACAGGTTTTCCTGATTAATGACTACTACTACAAGTTATTTATAGCATAAAATTTGCTGTAAATCAGTTACTTAACATACTAAAATAGTAGCAATGAAGTATAATTTATCAAATAAAAGTAAAAATTCTCAAAAAATCGGCTAACTATTACTCTTTATTCATTAAGACAAGCAATGATATACACCTCGATAGTTGTTTATTCGCACCACTTTGCAGACGTCAGTTGTCCACCGCTCAGGCCGCTTGTGTTTGTTGTGAGACGGACTGAGGAAATGGTTCACGTTGCTGTTGTGTTGTTGCTTGCTCACATAATAGTAGTTAAAAGTAGTCGGACGGATCAAAGTGATACTTTATTCATTGGCTCCATATCAGTTCGAGACAAAAGCCATTTCCGTTCGGTTTTCGAAAGACAAATTAGTGAATCGCCGTCTGACGCTTCCAAAGTTTATCATGCCATACTTGGTCTTCATTCACTTAGTGAACGGGTCCCTAATCCAGATGCTGCTTGTCTTTCGCTGAACAAACCTATTGCCAACCCAGAAGAAGCATTCTATGTGAGTGCGGGCCACAAACTCATCGGTTCTGCAAAGTGTAAGGTGAGAAATTTAAATTTCATTTACTGATCATTATGAACTTGCTAGACTATTTTATTTTTATTTATGAGTGCCTTACAAACATTCCTTTGTAAATTAAGTAGAGTAGTGCTATAGACGGCATTATTTTCCCTGATGTTGATCCAGTAATTTTGAACTGTCAAATACAACTTGTCTGTAAAATATATCTTTCAATTTACCTTGAGCCGAATAATGCCCATGTTTTGTGTTTCTTAGATAATCTCAACTGTGCAAGTCTTTTGCCTAAATACTTCTGTCCTTCATTTGTTGTTCTCAGTGAGTCCAAAAACTACGCTTTTGTTGTTTTGACTCAAATCTTGTCAGCCTGATGTGACGTCGAACACGTAACTACTGCTTATGTGTCCCTTGTTCCACATTGCGTATAACTGAATGACTGCTAGTTAATCAAGCACTCGAAACTTCGTTTCTGTCAAAATATACGAATCTCAAGACAATATACACACTTTCTGAAAATCGAGTTAATTTATATCGTTCTGCCTAGTTTTTACTGTCATGTACGTAGATCTTAATGGTCCAACAGCATCAATGCATCACATCTTATTGCCTTCGTATGTTCGACGTTGAAAACTGCGTTTACAAAGTCTCAAAATCAGTGCACACGATTTCATTTTTATAGCAATCTCAGTCATTACCTCATGTTGAGTTCTTCGTTACATTTAACCAGCTGATTTATTTCCACAATTTTGTTATAGAAAAACCCAGCTGATAAACTCATCCATTAAATCGTTAATATTTTACTTTATTATTAATCGCGTTTAGCCTGACTTTCGGTAAGTGGTGTTATATATGTCTAAAATTTGGAGACAACAATATGGGAGTCAAAGTATTCGGTCTAGCATCCTACTAACATCATGTATCGAGTTAATGGCAATCTTCCTGGTCTCTCCTGTTCACCTCTCATAATACACCCATGTTAGCTGTATCGCAACATTTTTGGGTTAGAATGGTCTTAATTTAGATATATTCTAAATCATTCGGAACCACCTAGTAATTTTATCACATAATTAGATAGTAAAGGATGTCATGACTAGTATTCGGAGACAGAAGTTTACCATACACATATGTATGTATAATTTTTACTCCTTCATTTACTTCTTTTCCTCTATCCAAATCGTTTTGGCACTTAAAATTTTCCCTTAGGTATCAAGTTCAGAGGTCGAGAAATTGTCCGAACAGTTGTTGACCGAAGACATATCAATTGAAAATCTGTTTTACCTCGTTTCGTCTATGAAACATCTGAATATTAAAAGTTAGTACTCATTCAACCTCATACTTTTTTCCACATTAGTTGATGCTAACCATGTTTTGTCAATAATTAACAAGATTAAAGCCAAAGATACCAGCCCAATGACGTAAGTGGTTTTTTCATTAACTTAAAATATTTAATCTAATCATTTTGTGATTGAATACCGTGACCTTTTCCGTATTCTTGACTTAAAGATACTAGAATACAGTTATGTGACTCTCTGCTATTCGAAGTTAATGTGACGAAAACTCGTACTCATCTGCTGCCTTAGATGTTCAATAAACATTCGGCCAGTTACGTACTATGTTTCGGAGTGTATATTCTACATACAAAACTAAATTGTGATCTGTTTTCTATCCGTTTTGTCACTAAGCAGTGGCCCCTAATTCGAAGGGTCGGGGGAGTCCACTATTTTTCTCAAAATGCTCTCATATGGTCTCGCATATATAACCACCGACAGGGAAGTCCTATTCACTCCCTTCTCGCGTCAGTACCGTTCATGAAGTTGAGAAGACAAAAAGCGAATGATAATAAGCTTTGTAGTCATTCTGTATACCACCGATTGTTTGTTAACTTGAAACTGTCACTTGCTATGTCCGAATTTTCTTCACAGAAGGTTCCTAAGTTGATGCTATATTCCTAATTTCATCTCAATTTCGTTTCGTATCTTTGGTTTATGTAAACAAAAACTTATTTCGACGTTAGAAACTCTTCTGGTTAGCAGCTTACAATATTTCTTATGTGTATTTTGTACTTTTTCTACTAAGATTATGGTTTCAATTTTTAGGTTAAGTTTTGCTTTACAAATCTTGTCACAACTTGGACTGACGAAATCAAACATCAGTGGCCACGTATCTAATATAGATAATGTTCTGGAACATGCAAGTGAAATAAGTGATAATCGACTGTTTGTAAGTTACATTTTTCCAATGTTTATTCTTGTTGTGTTTTATGATCCGTCAAATATCACGTGAGCTATGTTGTCAATCAGAATATCTATTTCTATGACCCGACCCCTGTATTAAACCAGTGGTGCGTCAAAACAACACTAACAGCCTTGAATCAACTCTGAGTCCTTATTGGTCCTCTATATGGTATCTTCTCTCCTAGCCCAACCTGTTCAGTCCAGCCTCCATCGTATGAACCAGATCAAATCACACCATAAAATGGAAAGTAACAACTATAGAAGATCAAACTAAAAGTGGCTGCGAGTATAGTATAGGAGACTGTAACTCATACATTGGGAATAAATTAAGAATGGTAAATGGTATAATAATAGCCAATTAATCAAATGAAAGCTTATGATAAAAGGGCCCCCAAATGCCCTGGTACGGCCGAGAGTGGGGAGAGTCCACTCTCCCTCTCGAAATGCTCTCACATGGCCAGCGAATATATAGCCTCTACCAGGGAAGTCCTACTCACTGCCTTCTCGTGGCGGGGGTGTTGTTTACGAAATTGAGAGGACGAAAAGCGAATGTCCGGCGTTTTAACCGGGTTGGTGGACAAGGCGAGTCCACCTAGGGGAGTTGAAAAACCCTGACTCCAAACCAATGGTGCACATAGGCTCCAGTATCCTGAGGGAACAAACGGCGTACGAATCAATCGTTGATCACCGGCTACCATGGGACTGCATCTCCTCACGATGCTCCACTGCCTTGTGGATCAGATCTTTCGGTCAAAGGCTCCGGGTGTGGGCCCCTAAGAAAACCACCTGCTTCAGTTTGGGCACCTGGGCAGTATCACAGCCCTCAAGCAAATCGAATGAGATTTGTATGGCGCATATGCATCTGGTGCTTCCTTGTACCAATATTTATGTGTTTAAATAAATAAATAAAGTGATAAAAGGAATATGAATAGACGTATAATCTAGTTACTTAATAAGTATCCAATAAGAATATATGTAATTACAGTCCATAAATAATTCCTAGCAGTTACTATTCATTTATTCGTTCGGATGTAACGCCTCTTTAAATGCTGTAGCTAAATAATCCACGAAATTCATGTGCGTATCACAAGACCTAAGATTTACCACAATTATGTATTGTTCTAAGTTGATGCATATCATTTTATTGCGACTGGTCCTTGAAGACGTTTGGTAATATGGGTCGTAATGGCCCAAATGCATCCACTCTTTGCTTTACCTTAAATCCTACGTTTTAAGCTTATCTTGTACCTTTTATCTGATAGGTTAGTTCTCCAATCGTATTGTGTATGTATAACTTATCCTACTATTAATTATATTACACCTACTTTGGCATTCATTTTAATAGTTTCTCGCTGTACTGATGAGGTGTAACAACTTCAGTCTATGCACGTTTGTTCCAGGCTATGTTTGTCATAACTAATCGAATTTCAAAGCAACGTGAAGAAATCATGCTGTAGATGAAATAGAGTTAGAGCCTTTAACCACTGAGTCAAAGCTCCCGACGTTTCGATTTCCCCGATATTACTGGTCATTTACATGAGTTCATATATGTGCTGAATCTAGTTACTATAATTTTTTGAGCCACCGTCACTTCGATACATAGAATTCTCGCCTTCGGATTTCACGAGTTAAGTAAAAAATTCCCGTAGAATGCCTAAAACTGAATTATTAGTTTTTATCTTTCAAAGCAGCTACTTAACCATTTGAGTTTCAACCTGATTTCTGTATGGCTTTCCTCAACTTTCCCGTAACCTCACCATCCTAAGTTACGACTGCATCCTGTTGACTAATAAAATCTGAATAATAGCGGTCAATGTCCATAATATTAGATGTAAAAGGGGATATTTGATAAGAAGTAATACAAAAGGTGATTTTGTACCATCATCGTATTCCCGTAAAAAAATGTCGACCCCATAATCCAATATGACTAGAATCTGTTTTGTATTAAAAGTCTTTATCTATGTAATAACAGTTTCCGAATCTGACGGTTTTATCGTTTTAGCGTGTTTTGTCATAGTTTGAAGTTTGATTTCAAATTACTTATCTAATGTTTTACTTGGGTCACATAAACCACTTACATAGCAAATATTATCCACCGATATATGAACTACACAGAAAATAGTTTGTCATATAGTTTTGGAGATACTTAGCTCTTTACTACAGTTCCTTGTCATTATTCTCACACATTGCCTCTTGTTGCTTCCCCCTCACTGTAATGATCCGAACTTGGTACGATACGTCATGCGTCATTTCCGTTCTTTCGAACTATCGTCTGTTGATATGTTGTTGATTGAATAGATTAACTTCCACAGCTTGCATGTTTTATTCGACATTGCTTCGGACGTCACTTTTTACCCTTCTGTCGTGACGAATTTTTGTTTCCACGTAGATTTATTTATTTATTTAAACACATATATATTGGTACAAAAGGGCACCAGGTACATATGCGCCACACTTTGTGTGTGGGCTGTGATACTGCCCGGGTGCCCAAACTGAAACAGGTGGTTTTCTTAGGGGACCACGCCCCGAGCCTTTGACCAAAAGGTCTGATCCACAAGGCAGTGGAGCATCGTGAGGAGATGCAGTCCCATGGTAGCCGTTGACCAGTGACAGGTTCGTCCGCCATTCGTTCCATCAGGATACTGGAGCCCATGTAAACCATTGGTTTGGAATCAGGGTTTCGCAACTCCCCTAGGTGAACTTCCGTGTCCACCAACCCGGTTAAAGCGCCGGACATTCGCTTTTCGTCCTCTCACTTTCGTAAACAACACCCCCGCCACGAGAAGGCAGTGAGTAGGACTTCCCTGGTAGAGGCTATATATTCGCTGGCCATGTGAGAGCATTTCGAGAGGGAGAGTGGACTCTCCCCACTCTCGGCCGTACCAGGGCATTTGGGGGCAAAAGTTGGCTCCGGAGGGGAACGAACTCTCGACATTCGCGTTATCAGCACGTAGATGAATCAAAGTCTGTTTTATTTGATTGTTATAAAATTCAAAATTTCATTGAATAGAGACTTCTTTATTCATGCTATTCCCATGAGTTTGTGTTTATTTTAACAACATTCTTTTTTAGTATGAAAAAGGCTTATACACAACGTCATTCGTTGCAAAAAGTATCGTTGACTTCCTTACTGCATACGGAGAGGTTCCAAAAAGCGTTGAGGTAATTTCCACATTCTTGAATCCCGTTTATTCGTTTTTCTCGCGATTAACATCATTAACAATATTATTGTGTTTGACTATATTCCGTTTCATTGAATAAAAGTGAGGAGAATTCAGCGGAGAAAGTGATCTTTACGAAAAAAATAATATACTTTAGCTGTACATTCGTATTTACGGTTGTTTGGTAAATAATTTAGTCTAAAAGATCTCCCTGAATTCTCTCCACTTTTATATTCCGTTTACTTTTGACATAATTTATAACAACTAAGAATATTTAGTTCTGCTTATCGCTCATAGATCAACCGGACAGTTTACTCAATGTTATGCTTACCTAATTACCATACAATTCAAATATAATGTATATAAAAACATCCATTTCTAAATTATTTATCTGAACATTCGTCAAGATCTAAACGAATAGTTTGATGGGAAAAAACGTTGGGCGCCTAGTGTATCAAGGACATTATATGTAACAAATTACATTTGAAATAATCTCAGCGGTTAAAATCTAAATAATTTCAAAGTTTCACCTGGCAAACTTATCCAACATTTTCCAAGGAAATAATTTGAATCAACATTATTTCTGATAATGTTACCGTTGAATGTTACGTTGAAATCATTTCAACTGCAACCACTGAGATTATTTCAAACATAATTTGTTACATATAATGCCATTTATAAATAGCTGTAAAACGTGTCTAAAAAGGCGAATGGAAATCAAGGCACTGAAAGTTGGTGATTGTGTACTATTTTAGAAGAGATTCTTCTACAGAGTGACTCATACTTATTCGGCTGTGATAGCTGTGAGTGTTAACACTAACGTTGACTTTTCAATAACTCAATAGAAATGATTCTATGGTCTGTTATTGCACTTTGAGAAATGTTTAAAAACTGATTCAACAATACACATTGGGTGTATCTGTTACTCAAAATAATTCTTTAAACTATATATTCGCTCATCCTTTCATCTTTAATAGAACAAACTGGTCAAATTATTCAACTATCTCTACACACGTCGTCAAACCGCCAATGTACGTGCTTCTGCTTACTTGGTTGCTGCTTTCAAATCACTAACTGATAGTTCATTACTGGTAAGTTACACTAGTTACAATGCATTTACTACGTAATAAATCTAATATAATCTAATTCAAATACAGAACCGATTACCAAGTAGTTTAATCGGATTTGGGCTTGCAATATTAACTGTGTATCCTCAGACTAAAGTACTCAAAGCGGAATTCGAACCTGCTGCCCCATTATTATATGTTAAGTTTATTAACCACTACCTCCCACCACCAAATTTAGAATGTATATGCATATACTTCTTGATTATTTATTCACTGTATTATTTGCTTCACTATATCAACAAAAGCCATAAAATACGAAGTTTATCAAAATACTCTTTGTCAAGTTCATTTTCAAAACTACAGTCTTATTGATATTAAACGTAGCATCAGCTTGGTGATTAGAGCATTTGATTTTCAATGTGTGGAAATAATGTACTGCACGTCAGGTGGGCTCGTGCAAATACACCAATGTACTAAGCAAATATAATAAATCACCTAATAATAGTGTGAATTTTAATTAACTAACGTTGTTGAGACACGTATTACGTAAGCCTAAAATACCTTCAGTTTAAGCAACCTAGTAGTATCGCTAGTCGGGAAACCAACAGTATGACTCTAAGTTGAATACATAAGGCCTGTACTTAAAAGATGTGTCACATCATTACACTGACATAAATTTCAAGTATGGAAATGATTTATTCATGCGTAGGAAGGAATATTAATACAATAAGTTATGACCGGGTAATCGGTTGCTCAGACTTAGAAGTTTATTAAATTCTCCAATAAATTTTCAAAATACGAGAAGTCTTCAATTATTGCCATAAGTATGTTAACCTTCCAAAAATTAATCCAAAAAGTCAAAGGTTGCACAATATGAACAGTAACCAGGAAATTATAAGTGCGGAAAATTTAATAAAGAAATGCAAATATTCATAGAAAAAATTATTTAAAGGAAATTTAATGTAAACCTAGAGTCATGAAAACAAGGAGAAATTAATCTGGTTTAAAATTATGGGTGGAAAAGGTTTCTTAACTGTGAAATACCCGTAGGTACGAAATTATTATTTACTTGAACACATTGGTACGAGGTACTATATATATATATATATATATATATATATATATATGAGCCAAACTGTTCAGTTTGTGTGAGATCTGGGATATTTCCTGGGCGTCCGAATTGAAGCAGGGAGTCACTCTTCGAAACTTTGACCCTGAGGTATAATCTACAAAGTGATGGAGCAATGTTAAAAAATGCAGTCCCATGGCAGCTGGTGAAAAACAATAGGTTCATACGTTATTTGTTTCTTCAGGATCCTGGATCCCATGTGCACCATTGGTTTGGGGTCAAGGTTTTCCAACTCCCGTAGGTAGACTCTCCGTACCCATCAACCTGGTTTAATCGTCGGGCATTCGTTTCTCATTCTCTCAATTTCGTAAACAAAACCCTCACTGAGAGAACGCAGTGAGTAGGACTTCCTTGAAAGTAGCACATACATATGGCAATTTGAGATTTTAAGAGGTGCAGCGGACTCTCCCCAACTACTAGGGCATTTGGGGGAAAGTACGAAAGCTCACGAATGTTCGACCATACACCATAGACGATATCAAATGAATAGTTCAAAACTAAATGTCCCACATGCTGCTGATTTGATACGTCGAATAATTCTCCGCTTCGCATCTCATTAATTTCTCTCGTTATTCCAAATAGTACCACTATGTTGCTGATGGCCAAAATAAGTATGGCCATTCCCAAATAAAGAAGTACAAACAGCCGTAATAAGTTCTTTACTAAACTTTGAGTAATCCAGATTATTACAAATCTTTCGAACACGTCACAATATTAGATAACTAATAATGTTTTCATTCTCTTACACAACGTTTTATTAGTTACCTGTTGTAATTGAATCATCAATTAAGAGCAATGAAAATTTGGGTTTTTCCATTCCTCCAATCCTGTCAATCGATCAAACCCATCCTATTTTAAATCTACGGTTAAAACATATTTGGACTGATACCTTTTTTAAACCAAGTGAATTCGAAATCAAAGCCCATGGTGTTTATGCAATCAAGCGAACCACTGGTGATCGTATTCTAATCAGTTCATCTGATTTGGGCACTTTCAAACAAGATGATAAAAAGTAAATTTATTCAATTAATTAATTAACTAATCGGTCGCTATGATGATGCCATGTTTTTCAGGAATTATTTTTTCGGGAAACAATCCATTTCGATATGTGAGCATTTCGAGAGGGAGAGCGGACTCTCACCACCCTCGACCGTACCAGAACATTTGGGAGCAATACAGTTTGCGCACTAACTTAAAAAAAATTTATCTGAATATTAAAAGTTAAACTAGGTAAAATGAAAGATAAGTAAAATAATGAGAATAGGAAAAATGCAATATCAATCAAATCACTCTAAATAATAAAACAACATTACCAGGATATATTTAGCGTAAGCATAGACCATTGTTCAGTACACACACACAGGGGGGAGGTAGTTTTTCGTAGGAATAAGTCTTTAATAATTTTAGGTATTCACCCCAGACGTCTTTTGTTCCAAATAATTGAGGATGAATTAAGACCAGTCGTATGTATATATCGTGCTTTAATTGTTTGTTTTCATTCCAGAGGGAAGATATTGATGACTTTTTCCCGTAGAACTTTCGTTCTCGATGCTATATAATACTTCCAGTAATAGTATTATTACACTTATGTAAACTAATGTAAACAGTTGATCACATCCCTAGAAATATTTCCCAATACATCTTTACATTTTGCTTAGGCGGTTTATACCTTTACATCAATCAGTAACTATTTTCATCACACGCACAAGAGATTACTTGTGATTGACGACACAATCTAATAGATACTCATCATATCGTTGCTTTATGTTATATTACATGTAACTCTTTAACCGATTACAGCTTGGAGATATTTCGTGTGTGATATACAGTAGTACTAGCTCCCTGTTTGTCTGTTAAAATCATTGTTGGTGGATTAAGTATCAAACCTAATAATGAATAATAATAATTATGTTCTTTTGTTATAATCCAATTAGTAGAAAATTGTATTTCTAGCGTTTCGTGATTTAATGTAAGCCACTTTTTCAGAGTAAATAAATGACCGAATTAAATTAACACAGGTTTGAATAGTATAAAGAAATCAATGCAAAATGTTTTTAGTACAATCAAAATCATAATAGGTCTGGATATGTCAATGTCAAGTCATTCTTGATCATGGTGAATTTATTATTAACTTTCTACCTAATGGTCAATTTATTCGAAACTATCAAGTTCAACCTTGGCATTGATACCTAAAAACTCATTGTTAGCCTCTAGACCATTACAATTATCATGGTTTAGTAAAGCAGTGGCTTAGTTGTTAAATACATTACATTTTCAACCAATAAGCTGGATATTCAAATCCCACACTATCTACTACCTACAATTTTAAAAGTTCCTTTTGTTTTTGAATTACATTATTGTCATAACAATATTCATAAACAGTTATAAGTATTAGTTTGACCACTAAAATGTGGAAATCCTGACTGGAATATACATTAAGAATACCATATTAGTAAACGTTTAACAGTCATTCGGCAGTTACACACCCCTATTGTACTAACAATTCAAACAAAAAAATACGAAGTCAATTGATAGTCAGTAGAAGTGTTTAACACTAATATGAGATCTAATGGATTTCAGAACTTCAAGAACAGTTAGTCTCTGTAACATTTATTGAAAAATGTCAGTCATACTAAGAGTTTTATCAAATATAACAACTTAGACTTTTCCAATAAGTTATACATTTCGGAAGTAAACGAATCTTCCTAAATATTTCAAAGTCACCATTGTTTTTGAATACGCACAAGTAATTGAATTTACCGTGTTCATACCCATTACGTAGAAAAATAATCGTTAAAAGCCGACATCAAAAAGGACTTATTTCTATCACCACATCTGTAACAGAAATGATGTTAGTATATTATCTCTGATAGTCCTACTATGCATATTTTTGGTGTCCTAATGTAAGTTGAAATAGGACACCCAGTGCTTCATAACCATTAATTCTTTAGTTAGCCTTCGGTTCTTTCTTTAAGTCACCAAATGTTTTTGGAAAATCATCTGTGGTACTTATGAATCAAGTTTCCGAACTTTAACACATCAGTTACTGAAGTACTAGTGTAACAACTCGTCTGTTTACTTAGACTTTAAGTCGCAATTTGGTTGTGTGAAAGCTTATGTTACCGTTCAGCAACTGTTTAATTTAAAGTAGGTAGAGTGCTATCCCAATCTCCTATCTATGTTTTAACGGTCATGAGATAGCTCTGTAAATGTCTCTCTGAAATGATATAACGGATTCAGTCGGCAAACTTTATGTACTATATACCAGTCGCAATTCCACTGATTTTGGTCTTATTATTTCTCACTGATTCACTGTTATATTTTTGTTTTACTCAGCAATGCTTTCCAGCTTACTTTGAATTTGGATGCAAAAACTACTGCAGGATATTATGAATTAGATGTAACTGCTACACCAGGTAGTAAAAAGACAAATGGTCATCAAAAACTTCTTGGAATAGCTAGTGTCCAGGTATTGTGTTGTCCGTTTGTTTAACAATGGGTTTTTGATTTTTAACGCTATATTCTACACTAAAACTCGTCAATAATCCGGTTATCAGCTTATATATATATCACTGCAACTTATCACATATGGTATACGTGAAAAATCTGACTAATAAAATTCCCCTACGGAACAACTAAACTACAAATGCACTAAATTTAATTGTTGTATTCAGAACCAGTGATAAAATTAACTGACTGATAATGTCAGTGTACTGAGGACTTGATGGTTGTCATTTAAATACAAATTAGTCCATCAAGAAGATTGTTTGAGACTGTAACCTTTAGTTATCTGACATCAAATACATAATCAGAGACAAAAAATAACAAGTTTTATTAAAAAAACTAATTCTTCACTTTTGTATAACATTAATGTCATTAGTTGATAGAGTTCAATTATAAAATCAATATCGTTGTTATGTAATTTATTTTCCAATATATGAACTGTAGAGATTGTTAACAAAATCTATTATTCTTCATGTATAATTAACTCATTCACCTTGTACTTAGATATGAACCACACTCTAAATGTGAAGACTAACGGTAATACAGTTGTCCAAACCGAAGTAGATAGAGCGGGATTCAAACTTGTGACTTAGTGACTGAAAGCTTTAACCACTAAGCAACCACTATATCAATCGCCATAAATACCCAAACAATACGCTTACTAGCCACAAATTTTTGTACTTGTTATCAACTAAGTAATACCTGTTATATATATGTATCTTTTTTTCCTGTTTTCTTATACCTAAAGATTCCCTTATATATGATTACAGAAGCAAAAGTTGCTCAAGCTACCGTAACTATCATGAATACTGCACGTGAACAACATGTTGCTGACATCAGGTATTGTTTATCCTGTTAGCATTAACTATCATTTGTTGCATCCCTCAAGGTGTTAGGAACTGGCTAATGGTGGATAGTTCTTAGCTTAGACTTCTTACAATTGATTCTTCCTTAATCTTCTCAATTTTGAGTGTATTTATCAACACCATTTTGACCGAATCTGACTAATGTTAACCAAACGTCTCTAGCTATTGGTCACGATAATCCCACGTACCCCAGCCTACTCTTATACTAGTCAACATAACCAGTCGAGGCGGACGTCGGTTAAGCTTACGTCCTATATATTCTAATCACTTCAATCAGTGGTAATTATCAATCTTGTTAACCGATTTGCCGTATCTGTTCACGCACATTTCCTCCGGACTGTACGATGTATCCCACTTCTAACATCAGTGCTACTCATTAGGTGGTTCCAACATATCCAAGCGAGTTTCCTAACACACCTTTAATTAAAACCTGCAGTCTGATCATGCCTTCTATTTTCAAAAACTTTCACAACCATGAAGTAACAGAGCAAACTGCTGTGCAGTATAATCACTTTCGGGCTGACAGACGGACGTATCTCCTATTCCACAAATGACGCAAGTTACTAAATCACAAGCATGACACAAGATCGCGTATTATTTTTTATGTTTATCAAATGTACACAAAGTAGACTACTAACCGCTTTTGTTCTAGCCATTCGATGAAATGTTCGTGTATATATATTCATAGTTGGTATAAAGCCTATGTGACAGCAACATTAGCCAAACCAATATAACTGAACGATATTCTCGTGTCATACGAAAAAAGGTGTCCTTTATTTTCTTACATATATTTATAAGCTAACGTTATTGTATTAGAGTTTTCGTCTTTTTAAATACTTTTGGTATTTACTCTTCTTCTCTTTTTTCAGTTTAACACCTGAGAAAACGTATAAAGCTTCAACCGCTTCCGGAGCTATCACTTTAGAAATTGGTCAACAAATATCAATAGATTTGAATATTGTAGACAGTAATCGAATCTCATTGGCAGCACATCAAGTGTTCATTCAGTTAACTCATCAGAAAACGCAACAAGCCATCACCTACACTTGTACTGAAACAATTACAGATAAAAAACCTGAAAAGAAAAGTTACAAATTACTCCTCGTTAGTTTTTCGATGCTTTTATTTGTTCTATTGTCATCTGTGCCTTATCTCTATAGTTCATCTAATTCAAAATTACTTGCTTCCATAGGAAAAAGTTTTCGATTTTAATTTAGAGTTATTTTAAGTAAATTGACAAAATAATCATTTAGTTGAATAATTAAGACTATCTGGATATCCACAAAACAAAATCGTCTTTATAATTTTTTACGTCACTTTTTACTACTTTCATCTTTTTGTCATGTAGGATCCAGACATGTCTGCAGCCGAATTCGACTACCTTTCAGGGATATATAAAGTCGACCTAATTGTTGGTGATTCATCGATCAAGGCTCCAATCCTTTGGCATATGGTAAGTGCGCGTATTTGTTTGAATGTGCTACCCTTAATCGTTCATGTGTGTTTCATCTTTTTCACAACATAGTATCTTTTCAATATGAATTACAACTATCTACAAAAGTACTCATAATTCTTTTTGTGTATCCAGTTCGACTTAGACCTTCGATTCGTTGGTGAAGCCGGTGATGAAACTAAACGTCGTATCGCTCAGGCTACTGATATTTCGCGTCAAGAATCATCTTCTCCAGCTGGTTCCAGACGTGCATTTACCCCAAATGCAATCATCGGATCTGGGCCGACAACTGCCAAGCCAGAAATTGATCACGTGTTTCGCGCTCCGGAAAAACGTGCACCTCCTTTCTTGGCTCTTACATTTACAATTCTTTGTCTACTTCCATTACTTGGATTAATTATAGCCGTGAGTTTTTGCTAATTCATTCACTTTTAATCATTTATATTTATTTCCAACTTTGCAATCTTAATCAATTCACAAATTGTATGTACAAACTCTACCTAACAAACTTATTTTACAAATAATCCTAAATACATAAATTGTATTTTAAAACATGGATTTGCTTTAAATTAGGTTTAGGTTTAGAATTGTAGAACGTGTTGATAATTCGTTGAGAAGAATAATCTTTGTTCATCTGTTTGTATTTTAATATTATGGGAATATATACATGTGTCATATTTTTTGCAATACTTTTCATTATTATTGCTCTAAGCATATACTCTCAGTCAATTTCCCAGTTACAGTTCATTAGCAATCAACCTAGAAATTGAATCGATGATGAAAGAAGGCGCACTTTCAATGCTTTCATCGACAAAATCAATCGACAGTTACCATGGCTTTGTATCATCTTTGTAGTCTTCACTTCTCTCACTGAAATTCCTTAGTTCATTAAAAAAACTATCATTTATTAAAGTATCTCATATGTCAAAGTAATTCCACTCAAACTCAGTGTTCTATACATGAGAACTGAGTTGAATAAACTGCTTCCTTCGAAAAAGATACAACTGTAACGAATAAAGACTTGGTTGGGGTAATTAATTCGTTGTATAATCCAAAATCATACACTGGAATTTTAAAATATGAAAAAATATATTCAATACACCATTTCCACAACTTACTTGGATTACCTCATACAAACTCCATCGTTCTTCCATTTCTATTGCTACTCCAACTGCTTTTGCTTTTTGTTCTCTTCTCATTTCCATCTTCTATCAGTAAGAACCCAACCTCTAATTACTGATGCATACTACTTATATCTGTCCGTATAAGTCACGCAACCAGATGTCACACATTTTGTAGTGAGTGGTATGGACAATTTATACAATTTTATAGAGTCACATATATAGTATTCAAATGCCGACTTAACTCATTCACAACAATGTAACTAAGTTTCAGGTTCTTTTACTCACCCTTAATTTACTCTTAATTATGAGCTGGTCTCAATAACTGTTTTGCTCTGCTTACCCCCTAGTAGATGAGTGATGCGTTCAGATTTTTGATGAAAAGAACATAAGTTGAGTTCTCTATCCTCTAATCCCACGCCTAATTCCATAAATATTTGTGAAATCAGTAATATACACGTAACAGATATTTAAGCCAAAAGAAAAATTGATTCGTATCTATTTGTGTGTTCAAGTGTTGACTAAACAGTTTTCTCTTGTTTTTTTAATTCCTTTTCAGTGGTCAGTTATTGGCTTCAATATCTCCAACTTTAAATTTTCTATCTCCAATATTATTTTCCACGCCGGTCTGATATGTAAGTTACTTTTGGTATTATTTATTACTATCATTAATTTATTCTAGACAGTTAGTGAACCTATGGAATCTTCTTTGTCAGTACTGTATTAAAACGTAATTATTTTCTTAAGCCTGTTACCCTTCTTGAGGCATAGGCCGCCAACTAGGGATATCCAAGCAAAATTTTCCTGGGCTCTACTTTCCAATTGTCCCCAAGTGCTATTCCGTGATCTTGGTGTCTTCCAGTTCCTGGCTCTATATGCTTTTTGATCTGCTTCATTCTGATTTAACTTGAGGATTTGGAGTTGGGACGTGCTTTATGATGCATTTTAAAAGTTTCCTTAGAATGTGTCCTATCCACCTCCACTGTCTTCCTAATCTCCTCTTCATTTGAAAGTTGGCTTGTTCTCTGCCAGAATAGGTTATCGCTTACAGTCAATGAATTAGCAGTATTTTTATTTATTTTCTTACTCAACATTAGTTGATGTAACTCCTTTATATGTCAACTTTTCGTAGCCCGTTGATGTGTTATTGAAGAATCCACTTGAAAAGAGAAGTAATAACATGAATCGACTTCAAGTTCCTTCTCTTAATTTCCTAATTCTTGTTAAAAGTTATACAGGGTTAACCTATTTGGTTGGTGTTAATATTCAATGAATCAAAGTGGACTCCCTTACCTGGCTCAGAATTTATCATAGTAACTCAGATGTATCCACTCCTTATCACCCTTTAAGTCTTCAATTCCAGTATTCCGTCATGCGTACCTTCACAATCTGTCTTTTCGTTCTATTTTGCAACTGATCTTGTTGATTTGATTTCGTGATGTTCATGTAATAAAGGAACTTAGGTCAATACACATTTGTACCTGGCTTTGCGTTAATTATGACTAGCTGGCACTCTATCATCAATTGTACATTACAGTCTAAGTTTGTAAATTAGCAGCAGTTACTTCTATGTATAGATTTCACCTCACTGGACAAATGTCAACCAAATTATATTGAATACGATGCACAAAGTACAATGTTCAATCAATTTTATATTAATTGCTTTTACTATAAACACATACATGTAACTAATATCATGTATATTTCTTTTTATCTCTTACAGCCATTTGTTATCTCTACTTCGTCTACTGGTGCCGTTTAGATATGTTCACAACTCTAAAATATTTGAGTATATTAGGTTTGCCAACATTTTTAGCTGGTCATAGAGTTCTTCGAGCACAAGTCATTTCTAAACAACAACAAACTGTCAGTAGTACACAATCGTTAAATGTAAAAAAGTGAATTGCATACAATTGGGAAACCTATTTTAATTTAATAGTAATTACTGTTTTTCACTTTCTGTTTTGTTTTGTTTACAATTAGTCTTTATTATTTTTATTATTGAATAATAATGTGAAGAGCTCTGTAATCATATATGTGTGTACATTTAAAAAAAAGCTGTGTTCATTTTGTCTAATATTTCCCATCGCTTTACAATTCCATTAAGACGTGTTGTATGTTTTTTTTATTTATTAAAAGAAATGAATTTGTCTGGATGTTTATTTATTTATTTCTTTAAACTATACTCGTTCCATTCGATATATATATTTATATATACTTTCATGTCATCTTTTATTACGACCTAGGATTCTTACACACTTCACTCCATTCGACCGAACTTGAAAAGTGAAACGTAAATGTATTTCAAAGAAAACAGCAAATTAATTATAATTTTAAAAAAATCCCGGTGTATATATATAATAGAAACAGGAATTTTCTAGAGTCCTCACTTGCTAGCGCTGATTGACTGAAAAACGTACCAATCAACTTGCCCCAACATGAACTTGTCTAAAATATGTTTTAACCAAGTCTCCGCCCTTCTAATACAGATCTTTTAAACTGTTGTTATTTGTTATGTAGTGGTAGTATGCTGCAAGTGAAAATTCCTACCATGGTCATTAGCTTTTTCTTATTCTCATCATAAACCTTCTCTCCTTCTCTTTCGAATTATTAAGTTCCATCTTAGCCTATAAATTGTACGAAATCAATGAAACCTTTTTCGTTTGCACTGAAATGCGAAATGCTTCAAGATAAAGGATCTTGCACTCACAATCGATCGTTAACAGTTGGAAATAGTGAAAAAATCCGTATATCTGGGTAGTATTGTGGATACTGGTGGTGATGTAAAAGGAGAGGGTTATCACTATTTGGATCCTATCATGATATTACCCTGGTTGCAAAAGATTAGGTGTATAATGTGTTGATAAGCGCAATCTTGCTCTGTACTTACTAAACCTGTCCTCTCTAGGTTGAGAATATGAGATTGTTCTTGCCTCTAAAGAGTCGCTGACATACAATGGCGTCACAATGTTACCGTAGCCAAATCAGAAACCGCCAAATATCTTTCATTAGCAAGGGATGAGAATAGTTCCTGAGGGACAGATATGTATTTGTAAATTAGTGAACTCAGTTTAGCCTCACTCTTCGTCCTTTCTCTCGAGTACATGTGTTTGTGTATAAAATTGATGTGCATCAGATCAACTCTCAGACAGCGCTCTCCAAAACAGTTACTAATTACGAGGTTTCACCGTGCGTTTCCATGGGGGTACATTCCCTGTTGAAGAGTCAAAAATTTATTATTTCTGCAGAATTAGCTTGTATATAATAAAAATTGGTTCATGATAATTTTATAGTCTTGTTTACTAGCTACTTTCTTGACGTAATACTTGTTACTACAGCTCTTACTATTCACAGAGCAGTTTGTCAACTAGTAAATGTCTTACCCAATTTCATGTCAAAAATAACCTTTGTTGTGGTCTAATTGTTTTAAATGTGTCAGTTGTGAATCCAAAATATACCAAGGACTTGACTGACTATTCCAGTGTTACAAGTGAATGTTTTTCATGGAGCTATCGATAGTGGCAAATATACTATCTGAGTTGAACTTAATGTTATGGGCTCAGAGTTAAGAAAAGTAGTCATGCTAATATTATAGTCAACTATTTTGTAGATCAATGATACTATTATGACTTGCGTGATCTGTTCCGTGAGAAAAATTGGCATAACCGCCTCAATCTTTCTGGTATTTTGTCGAATCGATAACTATTAACTTATTTATGATCTAATCATTTTAAAAATTATATGTAAATGTTCGGAAGCTACTCATGTTATGAGCTCTGATCCGGTTGGAGAACTATTACAAATCCAGAGGTCGCTGGACGCGTGTTCTGTCAGAGTTGAGAACTTATTAATCCGGCACGTACGCGCACCCTAGAACTCAGGGTAAGGGGAAATCTTTCAACTACTAAGTTTGCATCAATGAGATTATATTCTTAACTGCAGTCAATTAATGATGTTGCGTGGACGTTATCCACCGGGATCTATGATAGTTTTCTCAATACTCTCATGGTTGGAATCTACCAGACAAGGCATCTCACTTTAGTTTTTCCAGGTTTACATCAATTTGATTTTAAAATCAGTCTTTCATCCAACTTATCTTCAAGTTGAACATATCCACAAACCTATAGTAATTTTTAGGGATCGTTGAGACCAGTAATATATCTGGGAATATGTGCTTCTTGTGTGTAATTTGAAAACCTTAGGATTGTATGTATTTCACGAACCTGTGCGTTAAGCTTAGTGAATTTAGTTAGGCTGACTCAAACTGCAGCTGACGACTATTTAATCAATAAAGTTAAATTGAATGTCTTTTAATTTGTTGAACTTTAAGCATCCTCTTTATAGTGACCATTTGGGAAACTGCTTATTCCGAATGCAGCTACGTTTGATTTCTTTTTTGTTTTTCTTCACACTACTAATAAGTAGGTAAAAACAACAACATATCGTTCTTATGTTCCGGTAGTTTTTGGTTAGTGTTTTTAATTGCAGGACTAATTTTATCCAGAATGGTAACAAAAATTGCTTAAATAGTTGAGTACAGCTTAATAAACGCGAAAAAAGTATAAAAACAGTTATCAGACTAACTACTGAAGATCTGACTCAATAGTCTAGACTAATTTGACATAAAACTAGGCGACAGGCTAAAGCACAATACTAGACTGAATTTATATTACGAATAAAACTTGAACTGATAATTCGGCGAGACAATAATTTATGGACGAGTCAATCAAAAGTGTTTGAGCTATTTCAAGGTCTCGGCGCTTATTTTAGTACTTAATGCTTACGTACGATCGGTTTGCAAAAGATTTTAGAGAAATTATAGTTGAGCGGCTACAACAAATGGGATTAAGAAGTTTCTTTGTTTGTGACTGCAGTAATCAAATAACTCCTAGACCTTGTGCAGACTATCGTGATGATGTTGCATTTGGATGTAATATTCGTTGGAAGGAAAAGTCTGCTAAAACGGGAACTTTTTTCGCTCGATTCCTATTGAGACTAAGATAAATGATGATAATTGTTGCAAAGCACCTGTGACATTTACATATGTTACTGAAGGTTCTACAGTTCACTGGTATGAATATTGCACAAATATATGTGCAATGATAAGCTTAAATGAGTCATTTGGAGGAGTCAGGAGAATCGTAGAAGTCGAACCGGTTGTTAGGAAACGGCAATTCAACAAAGGACGAAGTGTTAAAGAAGACCAGGTAAGTATCACTCCCATAAATATACTTCACGGGTCCCTGGAATATGCGATAGATCATCACAAAAAGGACACTTTCAACAGACAAGCCTTGACCATAATACCAGTTATACGAGAGTATGTGTAGTCGGGATCCACAATACACGCTAGTGATTGAAAAACGTACCGATGCTTATATAGACTTGTTTATGTGCATCGTGACGTTCACTAGCTGAGTTTTGTGAAGAAGTGCACACAAATAATATAGAGTCAATGTGGTCGAGACTAAAAGAGGTTTTGAGATCTTTTCATGGCTCCAGAGGTCGACTATTACGTATTCACATGGATTAGTTCCTGTATCGTATGTATTACGACTTCAAAACTGCAGAGCCTCTTTCTAACCCTGAAAAGTTTTTAAACTATGTTTAAAAAAGTGCATCCACCCTAATTTTTTGGTTTTGTATAATATATTTTCACTCTATACCTACTGTTTTGTGATTGGCTGAAACTTCTCAAGATCATTTAAGATTCGTTCAAAGGTTGTCCATAAATAATAGTCTCACCGCCTTCAATCTTAAACTACTTACACAAGTATCGACTATTAACTAAAGGCATAAAAAATCTAAGAAATTGCAATGACGAACTAGTGAATGAGTTGAAAATCTATGGCAACCAAAGTTGTTTACCTATAATACTAAAGGTCGTAAGTAAATAGTTTGATTAATTTGTGAAGATTAGATAAATTTGTAGATGGTATTCACCATGAGTTGACTTCAGAGTGCCACTAAAACCAGAGAGTACTGGACACCTATTTCGCTCCAGTATAGGAGTTCTCTGAAGTTTGGATTCAGAACTCGTAGATATCTGAACAGTGAGTTGGAATCTAGTGAATTGCATCGCTAATTCTGATCGACTTGCAATGTAGGGCAACAGTCTTCCAAGGCCATCAGTAGTGATAATTTTACTTCTAGCATAGCTTCGTTCCCTTATTCCTGACTGTTGAGTAGTTCCATACGAGTATGAAACAACTATCCATTTCTTTCTGGTTTCTAGTTTTATTTCAGTCGATATTGATCTATAATTTCAATCACCTACAAACTAAACAGATCTCCATTAAACCCTCCCAACAATTACTCTGAAAATCCAGCTATTCAGTAGAAGAATATGTATTCATATGAAAGAACATGGAACAAGATATTACTCAAATACTGATTTAACATTAAATGGTTGGTATTTACAATTCCACGGAAACAATCAACAGATTCCATCCGAGGAAGAACTTCAAACTCTTAGACACTATGACTTTTCACTAGGAAATTTAGGAATTTTCGTACTAGTGGACTACCAGTTATTGTCTGTATCTAGATTTTTCGGGGCTGTTCTGTTTGTAAGCAGATTTGACATTCCCCAGTAATATACGTCCAATACTTCAGTTTTTTTCCTATTCCTACCAGTATAAAGGATAATTATACTTTAGAATATGAATGCGTTATTTATTATTTGATTGTGTATTGCTCATTATCGAGTTACTTGATCCTATAAGCAACCGATTTCCTCTAAATAGTTTGCAGAGTAAGTATATTAGGACTGCAAGAGGAACTGGTAATGTTTTGAACAGCAATAATTTACAGTAGAATATTGCTAATTAATCAACAAACCAACTCATGAAAATAAATGGACCTCATATTTTAAACAAATGAAGTTGACGACGTTTTGTTACTTATTGGTAAATAAGTAGGCTGTATGTAAACAAAAAAATCTAGCCGCTTATTTTATGCGAATCAATTTATCAGCAATGGTCTGATCACCTGAACTCTTGAATATCAACAACAGTAAATTACAAACCCTTACTAGTGCCTTCATCCAAGTAGCTACCTGGACTCAGCAATTCAGTGGACAACGTGTTGGGCGTTTGAAGTGAAACATACTGGAGTCAATTCTCAGTGAGAACACCAACACTGCGATACAAGTGAATTCTACTAAAGATGAGTCACAAATAGGAATAAACATGTATTTTAGATTCCACTGCTGGCCACATACCAAATATTACTAAAATTAAGGGTATATCTAATTGGGATTGTCGGCCCACAAGAATGCTTAGGGCCTAAAAACCGTTTCAACGATAAGCGACGTTTGTAGCATCGATGGCATACTCTACAAAATGTCCTAATGGACAACTTTCAGTGCCCTCGACTTCAAAATCATTTAAGCATAAACTAAACAAACATTACTAGCTATATTTTTATTGGGCAGTAACAAATTACTTTGAACTATTGAGGTTTTATTTAGGGTACTTGGGTTGAAATATGTAAATCCGATGGTTTTGCACTCAAATCTATTTTGTGTTAGCCGAATATGAAATAGAACATGACCGAATAAGATTAGAGAATATATTCAAACTTTTAAAAATCTTGATGTTCCAATAAATTCCTCTCTGGATTCTGTAATCATTTTCAGAATATATTATTTTTATTATTGTTTAAAGATCCCCATCATAATAAAAGACCAATATATGAACCAAGAGTATTCTTTTCGATAAATTCTCTCCAGATTGATAACTCGGAAATTGACCAGATCTAGGGCAAAGTACCTTGTTTAAATATACATGTGAATGAAGGATTGTTAAACATGAAAATTGTTAATGTTGATATGACTCATATGGGATGTTAACTTGAATCAGTGATCCATGATATGAACAAATATGGATCAGATAAGGTGAGAGAAATAGTAGTAGTGCAAATACAAATCCAATCAGATATTTGCTGGAAGACTATGTGTAAGAAAAAACTGGTGAGAATGAGAAGTAAATGAATCATGTATTCGGTAGAATAATGATGATGTTAAACCAATAATAATAGTAATACAAAGTTAAGTGAATAAATATAACAGACATGCATAAGTCTTTTATTGTGATGGGGATCTCCTTTTGAACATATAAGTCAAGTTTTTGACGCCTGATAACAATGGTTATTATATTTGACTATGAAAGGCTGTAAGTACCCTAGTTAAGTCAGGTATTCAGTGACTAAGATAACTTAACATCACTTAACATATAAACTGGTTCAATTTAACATTCTATATGAGTCATATCAACATTAACAATTTTCATGTTTAACAATTCTTCATTCATATGTATATTTAAACAAGGTACTTTGCCCTAGATCTGGTCAATTTCCGAATTATCGATCTAGATATATAATTGTAGTTTTCATTGAAAGTAATTCAGCTTAGGAAAAATTCGCAGTATACTGGGAAACGACTCTTTACTAGCAGCTAAATTTTGATGAGTTGACTAATCGAGATGTCGGTATTATTCTTGATACTGTCACATGAACTTCCCCTTCTCACTTTCTCCAACTAACTACAATCGAACTGGATGAATACAACGTTTGCGACTGAAATTGACTGAGTTAATTAATTTTATTTAAATCAGTTCATTATCAAACTATCTAAACAGGCGATTACAGCAAAGCAGAATACATTTTACCATTCATAATGATGTTAATGCATTAAAGCACAGTAGTTATTGAATATTACTCATATTACTAAATGTAACTTATTCGAAGTGATAAATAGGTAAACTAAATTGGCTACGATGACAGTAGAGAGAATAGTACCATCCAATCAAATGAATGTATTTTTTTAGAAAGGTTATGTATGTTGGAAACTGTCTTACCGTGAACTGACTGATACATTCTACAGCATTACAAAATATGCCAAACATCACGGCAGGCACAGTAAAACAATCCTGAACTTAAGACTAATTGCCCACCCAATGCTCATTAGTTTCCAAGGTTTCTCAAGTGAATGAACGGCATTTTATTGAAGAAAGAAGCTTCCCTAATATTCACTGCTATATCTTACACAACCATCTACTATTTGATCAAAACAATAATGATAAAAGCGACATACTAAAGATTTTCAGTTACTTGATTCCGATTAAGAGAAATACTTAATTACGAGCACTGAGGTTATTCCATTCTGTTTCATCACCACTTAGGAGTACCACATGGTAAAACTGTCACAGAGACATATGCCATAATCTTTGGATCTATGATTAAAAGTTACCCTTGAATCATCGACGTTGTTTAGCTATACTAACAGCTAACGCAAAAAGGGTAGTGATGATTTCCTTAAAAGCTGGATACCAATGTTGGTAACTAATGTTTGTCAATCCCTAGAGTCATTTGACTAAACGCCTGAAATCCCTTCTCTGCTATCACTTATTAGATAAGTATAGTAATATTACTAAGGGAAATTATAATGCTGTTTAAACCCACGTTAATTAGTATCATAAAATATCACAGTGATATCAGACTAAGTTATTAGTGAAATCCTGTTTCGTCAACAAGCTAAAAATGGTATGAATCACGAAATCTATCAGCCACTTCCATACATCCAACATTTAAACAAAGTATACTACAATGTGTCACTTAGTGGTTACAATCCAATATACTGAAGAATAGCACCGACGACTATTCATTGGTCAACTTCTAAGTATGATAAACATCATCGAAGTTCAATTATGTAATGGCAAAGAATGTTGACTAGGGTTTGAAACATAGTTATCACGAAAAAGAGATTATCAGAATGATGAGTTGTATCTAGTACTAATTATGTGAAGACGAATCAAGGGAAATTTAGTTTTTCTTATTAAGTAAATCAATCTCATTAATTTATATAGTTTATTGATGAAAAATATCAACTATGAAATGAAATTTTTTTGGTTAGCGTTTTTTCTGGCGAGTTAGCTTTTCTACGGGATGGGGTCGCTAACCCCATGCCCAACCCTCCTCCTTTACCCGGGCTTTGGACTGGCAGTAACTCTAGAAGAGCTACAGGCGGAGTTTTTTACAATTGAAGAACATATGGAACTCAAAACAACTCTCAACCAATTTCAAGGTCAGAATCTTTAATACGAACGTCAAGACAGTCCTACTGTATGGAGCTGAAACGTGGAGAACTACTACGACCATCATCAGGAAGGTACAAATATTTATAAATAGTTGTCTACGCAAAATACTCAACATCCATTGGCCGGATACTATCAGCAACAGCGTTTTATGGGAGAGGACAAACCAGCTTCCAGCTGAAGAGGAAATTAGGAAAAGACGTTGGAAGTGGATCGGACATACATTAAGGAAATCACCAATGTGCATCACGACTCAATCCTTAACTTGGAATCCGGAAGGGAAGCGGAAAAGAGGAAGGCCAAAGAACTCACTACGCCGGGAAATAGAAGCCGATATGAAAAGGCTGAATAGCAACTGGGAAGAACTGGAAAGAAAGGCTCAGGACAGAGTTGGATGGAGAATGCAGGTGAGCGGCCTATGCTCCTCGACGAGGGGTAACAGGCGTAAGTAAGCAAGTATGAGATGAAATTGGTATTAAATCAAAACTTAACATTTGCTAACATCCTACTAGTGAAAGACCTAATGTTGAGTCGGCTTCCGGGGAGCTTCAACGGAGCCTCCAGAGGCCCAGAAAGGAGTCAAAGAGTCCTAGCCAATCAGAGTACGATGGAACATTCTAGAGTTCCAACGTGGCGTGATACTATTGGTCGGTAGCATAAAATGTCGTTAACGGATTGGCTGAAATATGATGTTGATTTAACAGACACTAACATCTATAAATACCCATGATTTTCTGTACAAGAACGAACCCTAGAATAAAGTATTTCTCTCATACTTGCGCCTTCTCTGTGGTGTTCAAGTCGTTGAGTAGTTTTAGCCTGTGGGTTACCAGAATAGCTTAGGAAACGAACATAGCGTTCAATTGACGAGACGTATCACCTAAATATACTACTTCTATACAGAATATCCACCAAGGAGTATCTTCATAAGAAACAGTACTCTAACAAACATAACCATTCAATACTTCAATAAAATAGATGTATTGGAAATTAGACCATATTTTTGCAAGTAAATTGATTATCCACTATTTATAAGAACTTTCGTCTAAATTAGAGCAAATAGTTTCACAGTATTTAGGCGCCGAGTTGATGTAAGATATTAAACATATTTCCTTGAAAAGGCTTGGACCAGATTACCAGTCGAAACGTTGGATTTACTTCAAATTCATTCACTGAGATTTTACAAATACATATTCTTCCTATTTAATGACTATCCACTATTTTACTATTTAGTTAAATCTATCCTAGCATGAAAACCAGGTTACAGATTTCCCTGAATACATTCATCATTGTGAAACTCTGTGAACCTTGATTGATGGATTGGTGGGGGGGGGGAGACTGATATGTAAAAACATCAACAATTTCTAAAATGCTTCACAGTATCATAATGTTTAAAGAAATAAAGAATAATTGTTTTAATAATAGTAATAATAATAATAATAATAATAATAATAATAATAATAATAATAATGAAATATATAATTATTTAATAATGACAGGACTAAACTTATATATTCATACATTTTTTTCTTGTAAAATAAATAGTTTAGTAAATTAACAAGAACCATACATATGATATAAACAAACAATGGAAGAGAAAACAACAGTACACTTCAATCCAATTTACTAACTATTATAATATTCAACAATTTGTTGTTTTTTTTTAAAAAAAAGTGTAAAAATGTTTAAACAAGAAAAAAAGAACAAAACACACAAGAGCTGGAAATGTCTTTTCTTTCAATGTTGTAGATCATTCAGTAGATGAAATGAATAGCAATAATAATAATAGTAATTGAATGTCTTTTTTATAATTTGAAGAATTCTTTGTGATAGGGTAACTTGGATACATACTAATTCACTTAAATGCTAATCAAATAATCTATTCCAATACTATTTAATAAACTATTTGCAATGCAAACAGAATGAACAACTGGAAAGTGTAAAACACTTTTAATGATGAAACACCATTTATGATAGGTGTAGTTGTAACTATCTTAGGGTTATCTAGAAAAATAAAATATTGTATAAAAATATATAAGTTACATTTATAATTATCCATTAAAAATAACTAATCACGTGATAAAATGTAGTACTATGGTGTGGTCTACTTATACCCACATAAGTAGTATATGGTGATGGTCAGACATAGAATGTATTTTGGCAGGAGATCGATAAGGAACGAACAGAAATGAAGTGCAATCGGGACGAAAATGCATGAACGATGAAATCAAAGAAAACGAACTGATACTTGCAGAAGGAATATTTAAGATTGAGATAATTGGTTGTTATTTTTCAAATTACTGTATGGTTATCAGAATTTACTGAGATAGTTGATTTGTGCTTAAATACATTCGATTGTCCCCATTCGTCTTCTTGTTCACTGTAGTACCTTTGATAGCATTTTAAATAAAGTCGATTTTTTTAGTAGTTATCTATACAGTTACATTTAAGTTAGTAAACTAGTGTATCATAGATTGTTTTTAACTTCCCTTTAAATTAATTTCACTGCTCACCTGGTGTTAAGTAATGGGTAGCCATTAATCCGAAATCTGAACCAAGTTGATCAGGAAATGTTAAAACTAGTAGTGTTTAAATGTAAGCTATATGACTTTCGAATGGGTTTAGTTCCCTTGGAAATTTCATGAACAATTCTATGTACATGTGGAACTATAAGTCAATGAATTCACAAACAATAAATGAAAGCATACAGTAAGCTTATTTTTGCTTCTGATGGATCTACTGTGAAGTTTGACTGAGGTGCTTTTTAGTCGGAGACAACTTAATACTGTCGGTCCATCCTCTGAAGATGCTGTCTCCATGTTGGCCTTTATGGATTTTACTCAAACCTATCTGATCATACCTTGTGAAAATGACAAGAGGAGCTAGTTAGGTAATTACAAACTAAGTATTATCCCATAATTAGCAACTAAAAGAACGAAATTAGAAGGATTATCCTACCACAAAAGTGACAACAATAGAGGTGAACCAAAGTAGTACAGAAATACTAAATACTGAGTGTTTACACTGTCTAATAAAGATATTCAGGTCTTGAGAACAACTGTATGCGAGTCATCATCATAAATTTATTTCTTCGATAATAGTCACCTTCAGGGAAATGGGACATTTGGTTGCATTGAAATCAATCTTGGACTTTTTGTCAAACGTAGTGTAAAAGAATTTGTATAGCCTCATAAAAACCGTTAATTCCCATTAGGTTAAACACCATGCTGCTTCATTTAAAGTCCCAGCATAATCGCGTGGAAACTTTCACCTCTACACTAGAGTCTTTGTGAATATTTCCAAAAACTAATAACATCAAAAAGTATCAATATGATATGAGCACCGAAACTTTGATAATTCAGTCGGTTTTTATGCAACAATAAGTAATGATCGCTGCTAAATTTAGATGTTTCAAGGCATTCCGAATAGGTCCCAGTACTGATGGAACTTACCAGTTATATAAATTTTATTCTCGTAAATGTTGTTAATGTCATCTACAATTTTCCTTCAAGACTCCACAAAGAAGTGGATGAGCAATTAATCTCAAGTTTATTTAAAGTAAGAAATTCTAACCGACTTTTTATGAAAAATGTTTGGTAATCCTAAACATTTTTAAGCATAATTTTAAAACTCCGTGAAGACTCCAAATCAATATTTCATAGAACAGACTGACTTAATTTTACAACTCATGAAGATTCCCAACATTTAATTATTCATCTACACATTTTGAACTTGACGGGCCAGGAAAAAATGTAGCAAAAAGGTACTCAGAGTATGTTCATGGTTTAAATTAGTCTCAAGGAGCAGCTCTATTAGAGAAAAACTTCGAAGAGTCAATATGGATACTGAGGAAGTGTCAATTTACGGAAATAACGATACTGGCTTCGTCTTTAAATTAAAAAGAGCGGAAGACACTTGCAGACAGGATATTTCGACATTCATGGCCTAGAGAAATTCACTGTTTACAAAGCCGGCGATAGAATAAACATAAATGGCAGACAACCTGTAGGTATGAAAACCCTAAGATAGTAAGGGTATCATAAATTAACCACAATACTATCAGACCTAGTACTCCAAAAATAGCTAGGGACATTAATTACCATTGGTCTAAGATATCAGCTAACCATTTTAGCGAAATTAAAAAGTCATACCTCGAAGCTATAAGATAACTACGCTTTTAGATACAGTTCCGAATAAATAAAAACATAAGCTTGAAGAGAATTATTTTTCAGCACTCACTTAAGGATTATTATGACCAGTTTGAATACGAGTTGCTAAGATACAGAAAGTTGTGATTGAGTCCATTAACCAAAACGAGCATCAAACTAACTCCCAGTAAGACACATATTATGGACAAAATAACAAAAATTAATGCCATATTAGTTGTTTACTCACTAATAATTAGTAATGAGCCCATGACTGTCATCTCAAGACAAATCAAATCCAATCTAGCCATTCAGCAGTAAAATATGGAATCAGTGTATCTAACAATAATTACAGATCCGAAGAAAATTGAAGTCACTTAGTCATAAATCATGATGAATAGGGGACAAACCACAACAAAAAAAACCATGCATAATACTAAACTACAAAAACTTCTAACCTGTTATAGTAACTGTAGTTTGGTATTTTTCTTCTTCACTTTCCATGCTCGAAGACACAATTCCCGTGGTGCTTGTCGCACTCTCTTGAAAGGTGGTTATTTGACTCACCGAGGACTGCGACTCCGTTGTTCCTACATCCAAAGACTCCTCCCCAACCGCACTGGCAATCACAGATTTGTTAGTTTGTCGTGCAACAGCCGAATCTGTATTATCAGTTCCTTCTGAATAATTAGAGGATCCAGATGAAACATTATCAGAACTTGATGAAGTATACTCAGTTCCTTCGGATCCCACTGGAGTAGAGGTGCCAGCTTCGTCAGTAACACCAATACCGGTACTTGCTACTGAAGTAACATCAGTAGTCTCTGTACTTAATGTCGTTGCTGAAGGTTCCGTTTGTGTGAAGGTTGAGGATGATAAAGAATTTTTGTCGCTAAGGTTATCAGTTGACTCAGACACAGAAGTAGTAGAAGAATCGTTTGCATTTCCGGTTGTTAAAATTACACTCGTGAAAATGGCGTAGAAAACAAAATGGGTCATGTACACTCCACTATTACAATAAAATAACTTCTGACCATACATCCCAATAGTTCTTAATAATGCAATTAATTTAATCAGACTGCACTGAAAACTGTAAAAAATTAACAACAGTTTTGATGTTAAATTTTAAAATGAACTATTAATTGATTTGCGTTTGATGATCCACAGCCCAATTTGTAAGTCTGCCCATATAGTTTGATCGATTGATATATTTTTGTAGTTTAGCACAAACTAGTAATTTGATTGGTTTGTGAAATGTTTTCTATAGTTCATGATGACTGGGCAAATCAGAATACTCAAAAAATATTCGGACTTATATTCAAGGTCTGAAGTCGAGTATGACAGATGCATGTGACATAGTATGTCATTTAAACACAAAGAAAAACTCCAATTCCAGAGTGAGGAGCTTGATAATTGTAGCCTATTTTTGTGTCATACTTAGAATTCAGTGCTAAATGCCTCTAAATTTATTAGTAAGAATTTAAGCACGACTGTATATATTTCACACATAATAAATGTGCTCGGTATAGTGATTACCAACTTTACAGTTTATATTGTTGTAGCAGTTGTAAACATCTGAAAGCTACCTGTAACAAATGAACTATTACTTAAAGTATCGTTTTTACAGTAAACATTGACACTCCATAGTATCTTGTGTTATTCAACCTACGAAATGAAGTCTCCATATAACATTTTAACGGGGAGTAATTCTGTGAGGAGAAGAGATTGTTATTATAGTCTATGAGTAATAAAATTGATTCTGACTTTGTCGTGGTTTACATCCAAACTATACAGTGCCGAATGCATTGAAAACTTACATATTTGGTGTTAAGATGAAATACAAATAATCGGTAATATTTTCAACAATCAATAGAGTGGCTATTTATGTGACTTCTTAAATTACTATTCATAAGCTTGAACATAATATCTTACTAACTTACTTTACTCACGCCTGTTACCCCTCGTCGAGGAGCATAGGCCGCTCACCAGCATTTTCCATCCAACTCTGTCCTGAGCCTTCCTTTCCAGAAAAAATTTGGACATAATGTCAGTTTCCTGATAATTATTCACCCCAGATATTTAGAAATCGACCTGGTTCTTAATCACTTTTTTTCAACAGTTCCAGTGAAAAGCCATGGTCAACGGAGTTCAACTGTGTCTAGCATGAGGAAAGTACTCAACGAAAATAATATTCAATAAATATTAAATAAAATATCGGTATATCTACTACATTGACTTTATAGTTATGATCATTAATTAATAAATAGACACTATAAATTCAGTAGGATTTATCATGTCTATGAAGTTAGGGGGTCGAAGTCATTTGAAAAAGATGAGATAGTTATGCGTTCCTTTTCAAACCAAAACGGTCAAATACATTATTATTGAATTTCATTAAAATAATGAAAAGATCAGTGTCAGACCACTGTTGAAAACGTGAAAGCGCTACACAGCCGTTCCGTCCTAGTACGAAGCTCTTCAGCAGTAACCATCCACGATCCCACACGCAAGATTTATACCCAAGACCTTCGGTCTCGCCCGCAAACCCTTGAACTCCAGTCCAATGAGCTGGTATCACACGGCATTAACATTTAACTTCAACCAATCCACGATGTTTCGCGACCATCTTCGAGTAGTGTTGAATTTTACTGTGAAGATCAAATATTCTGGTACAAAGTACTAGATCATTACTTATAGTACCTTTTGTGCTCAACAAATCTTTTCAGGGTAATTTTACAAGTGACCTTTAGGTCAGGTATCGCTCTTGTTTTTCATAATTACAAATTTCATTCTGATTTCAGTTCAGATTGAAGTTTTGATTCTTGTCTATAAATAATTTTGGTTTCCATACCCTACTTTTATTCCAATCTAATGTTTACTTCCTTGTTTTATAATTCATTTAACTTAATTTAGGTCATTTTCGTTAAGTCAATGTTTATCTATTTTATGTCTTTGAATGGTTTCAGTCAGATTTACCGGTTATCTTTGATTGTCTATTTACAGGATATTATCGCATAATTTTTTTACCGTTAACACTTTAAATGTCGAATATTTACTTTCGATTTTTAACTATTAACTATTTCTTATTATTAGATTTTGTTTATAAAAGCTACTGGGAACTTGTGTTTTTTTTTAACTGTAAGGGTTTGTTGAGGTATTTTGAATATATTTAACACATAATTGTTTGAGATGGTGGAGAAATTCGGACACTTCACTCCTACCTGAAGTTTTTGTGCTGTTGATATTGTACAGAACAACCAAACCATCCAGATCAAAGAACAAAATCGCATCAAAACATATCTGTTTCTACATGAATAGTATCGTAGTTATTATCATACAATTGTGTTTTCAACATTCAACTAAGTTTCATACAAAGAGTGAGTAGATACTAGTGATTTTTGGAATTCACTTCATCATCTGATAACAAATAATCTCAGGCCATAACTTTTAGCTATTTGAAAAGACACATTATTTCGATTAAGTTTTCATTTAGTGATAATTCCTCATGTTATACAATATATCAGAAAAATTCTCAAATTAAACCGATGAATAATTAGTTAATACTCAAACTTGATATTCATTATACTTGCGTCTTACTCACCTCTATCATCTTTTTCTAATTTAGTCTTTAGCTAGAAGCTGATTTGTTCTCCTCCACAAAAGGTTTTTACTGATGGTATCTTGTAAACGGATCTGGAGCATCTTGCGTAGACAACTGCTTGTAAATACCTGTACACTTTTGATAGTGGTTGTAGTAGTTCTTCTTGTTTCAGCTTGATGAAGATTATAATTTTCCACAAGAAGCACCTTAAAAGTAATAGTTACTTTATTCAAGACTACAGTTCTGGTAACGGTAAAGGATTCTCTGCACAAAATATTACAGTATTGTTATACAGCATCGTTTATGTGTGATGATTAGAAGTATTCGGATTATTGTACGAACTAGTATTCCCCAAAATGGAGCAATTTAAATCAAACAGAACTAGGTGAGCACAAACGAACGTATTGTATTTAAATTCAAAATCAGGCAGTCATCAAGTACAAGAGAATCATTAGTTCATACAAACACCACATTATGTCATCCATCTTCAACAATGAACGTCTTTGCTTATTTCAACATTATATGACAAATTCCAATGTATTCTCTCGTTTCTTTAAAAAAATGGTTAAGAATAAGAGTATGATAACTCCTATGGCATTTCGGCTTGTATCTTACGGTACTTTCAGCATAACCATAAGTTGCGAACTTTCTATAAAAGTATTCAAGCATATTATACGATTTAAATAGTTACTGAGTTAAAATAAGATATTTAAAATATGAACATTTACTGCATTAACTAACCCGTTTTATAATAGACACTTGTAATATCAATACACCTACAGGAACACATTAAAATCTAAATGAATGAATTCGTGTACTGTTAATACTAATTCAAGTAATAAATTGTTCTAACTTATTTCTTTTTAGAAATTATAGTCTAAATGACAAGTGACTTTCTAGCTAGTTAATCACAAGTTGATTCTTGTTAGCATTGTACTAACCATTCCACTAATCATTTATCAAATCTTTCACTACAACTGAATTCAATCACATTGTATAATTCGAAATCTTAATACAGTTACAAAATATTAATGGTTGAATTCATGAGTCGTTTGAAGCTAGACCATTATTGAAAACATGGAATCACTGGACGACAGTTTCATCCTAGCACGGGACTCCTTAGTAGTGCATATTCACGATCCCACATGCAAGACTCAAACTCAGGACCTTCAGTCTCGCATGCGAACTCTTAAGCTACAGAGCAATGAGCTGACATCCAACAGTGTTAATGTCTAACTTCAATTAATCTATGATCCATTGTCTGAGGTAGATACCTATCTTTACTCGACACGGATTGAACTCCATTGATCATGGCTTCTCAGTAGAACTCCAGGTAATCCATTTTGAAGTTAATCACTAGTAAGTACATGATGATGTCCACCAAAACCTACATTAGAATTACAAAATATTAGTTACAAATTTTTACTAATTCATTAAAACAAATATCATTCATAAAAGTTTTATGTTGTCATGACAAAATCTATCTAAACTACAAGGTCATTATGTAAAATATTCGTTTTGAACATTTGATATTTTGTTGACCATGTACATTTATGTATGTGTGTGTGTGTGTAAATGTGTGTATTTATTTATACATATATGTGATTTGGTTTCATTATTTTTATATGCATAAATTTGGCTTAAATTTTTCATTCATACAACCTTGACGATAGTGAATACCGGAAGTTAAATCTTTCTATTCAATTATCAATCAACTAATATAACACCCCTTCCATTTTTCTATTCTCATTTGGTATATGATTGTGATTGTTTATTGATCACGTTATACATTTGGTATCAAAAGTTTTAACCAATTTATTGTATTGTATTGTTACCTTATCAGAATATCACTTATACATATCCCCCTTTTTTAATTAATCAGTATTATATAGAGAGACACAGGGAGAACGGGATCAAGGGAAAATAAACGACCAAGCTCATACACCATTCTGGAAATAAAATAGTTCTACAGATTACAAAATACTATACAAATATGCAAGTGTTCAATACAATTGTTATTCTGTTTATTTTGCTTCTATACACTACCAGTTATGTTATATCACTTAAATGCTATCAATGTAATTCACATAATGATAATTCATGTAATAGTATTACCGATTCACGAGAACGACCTAAAGAATGTCCACCACATCTACAAGCATCATGTAAAACTATAGTTCAGGTAAGTTGATAATAATATAATGTTTCCTATAATATATATAATACATAATTTTTTCTTCTGATAATTAATATAATCATATGCTCACTAATGACTTCGAGAAGGATATCCAGGAGCTCTAGTGAGAAGCAGTGACCAGTGGAGTTCAAACCACGTCTGTCGTGAGATAGGAACTCACTGAAGACAATTGGTGAATGGTTTCTCAACTTCGTGGATCAGTTGAAATTAGACAATAACACCGTTGGATGCCTGCTCAGTGGTTTATTTGTTAAGGGCTCTGGCTCGAGACTGGTAGGTCCTGGGTTCGAATCTCGCGGGAGCGGGTTCGTGGATGCGCACTGCTGAGGAGTCCCATAATAGGACGAAACGGCCGTTGAGTATTTCCAGATTTTCCATGGTGGTCTAGCTTCAATTGACTCACGCTTTCAACTATGAAAAATACTAAATCTCCACAAAACCCCTTCTGATAATTAATATAATGTTTGTTTATTTATGATTTAACATGAGTAAATGTTATTTTCCCAGTGATAATCTGCATGAAAATACAAAAATCATTGTGTTTAAGGTGATGGTAATAAGACTTATCTACAAATTGTATAACCATCTATATTCATTAGTGTTTAATATGAAAGGGATTTCTTCAAGTTGT